TCTCCCACAGCACTAATAGGACCACCGAGCAAATCTCATCAAGCAAATCCTGTCTCTTCCTCCCAACCATGTACGTGAAGGACCCCAGAGTAAACTCTCGTGTGAGAGTGCCTCATGTTTGGCCATCAAAGCTTGGGAACTGTTAGCCAAAAAATGATGCACAAACCCAGAGATGACCTCTGAACGAAAGATCCTAGCAGTCGACTAAGGACAGTGATGCCCCCTCAACCCAGAGCGGGCAGCCCCACTGGTGTGAAGAGATGTCTTTTTGTGGGTTGGTTCATGCTTTTTTTCCTTGATGACTAGGAGCATAAGCATCTTTCCAAGTGTTTGTGGGACATTTGTGTCTGTGTCTGTGTACCCGAGGAAGCCAGAAGAGAGTGTCAAATGTCCTGGACTTATAGATGGTTGTGAGCTGCTGAATGTGGGTGCTGGGAACCAAACTTCAGTCTGTTGGAAAAGTAGCAAGTTAGGAGTTAAAGTGCAGCTCTTGGGAAGTGGTTCTGTCTTCCCATCGAGTCAGACCTGAGGATTGAATTTAGGTCATCGGACTTAACAGCAAGCATGGAGCCATCTTACCAGCCTAGAGGCACAGCCCATCTCTTTAGGGCTTAGACCCTGGAGGCAGAAGAGGAACCTAAGGAAGGCAGAAAGCATGACTCTGGAGTATGCACGTGTACCTGCATCCTGACACTGTTTAGTCAAATTACTAAGGTCCCTGGCCAGGTGCCCCCCAGATCCCCATAAGGCCAAATCTCCTTCAGAGTCCCATCTGAACTTGGAGGATGGGTTCCACCCACTGCAGCTTACAGCCTGCGCATGGCAAGCATGATTCTGCACTTGTCCCTGCCTTGCCCTCCAAGTAACCCGTTGTCCCTGTAGCAGGAGGGCGGGGCAGCTGGACACAGGCTTAGAGGGAGTGGAGCAGCAGCCAGCCCCTTAGGGCACAGGAGAGGATGACTAGGCAGGCTGCCCTGCCTCCAAAGCATCCCTCATTCCTACAGAAAGTGCCTGTCCCTAATGGTACAGTTGTAGAGCACCTGCTGGTGGAGCTACAGGGTCCCTTGCCGGCCTCCCATGGCATTTTGGAGTAGTACCTGGTGGGAACGCTGGCCAGGCAGGAAAACGCAGGAGAATCCCCATCTTGGGAGAGAGGAGAGGCCATGTGGAGATGTGTGTTTACCTGCTCTAAGTGACAGCCTTACTGTGTGAAACACTGGCTGCAGCCTGGGCCTTGCACTCCATTTCACACAGCAGTGCTTGACTTCACTGTGAATGCAGCACAGAGGCAGGGAGACTCAGCTTGTGCTCACAGACACCACCACCTGCCCGGCACCACCCTGAGCTACACACTGATAAAGAAAAAGCTTTACAAAGTAGATGGAGACGGGAGCGGCTCCGCTCCGTGGGTAAATTGCCTTGTGTGTCAGCATGAAGACCCGAGTTTGGATCCCCAGAAATCCAGTAAACACCAGGTTGCCCTGGTGACCACTTGTAGTAATTCCAACCTCAGAGAGCAGAAAGCATCCCGCAGGGCAAGCTGGCTATGAGACCAGCCTTTTGCCCAGGAGCCCTGGGTCTGATAAGAGAGCTTGCTCCAAAGAACAAGCCACGATTCCGACATTACCCTCAGGCCTCCACACCACACCTGCACAGGTGCAGGAGCACCCAACACAAATGTGCACGCACACATGAGAAACACGCAAACACACATGGAAATGGGATACCTTGGTCCTGGAGAGACAGCTCAGTGCTTAAGGGCACTGGCTACTCTTCTGGAGAACCTGGGTTCAGTTCGTAGCACCCACAATGGTGGAGGCCCACAGCCACCTGTATGTCTAGTGGGGGGGGGAGCCTGATGCCCTTCTGTGGGTTGGCTCCGGGGCCAGTCTTATCTGCATAGGGCACCCCTCAGTGTTGAGGTTGGCTGCTCCCTTGGCCCAGCTTCTCCCCACTTAAAGTGAGAAGGGAGAGTCATGAGTCTGTTTCCTCCATTTCCCAAGGGTTCATCAGGGAGGGCCCACAATCTGCGGCTTCCAACATGAAGGAATGCCAGGTTACCTTTGATCTTGGGCTCTTTCGTCCCCTGGGAATCACAGATGGGACACATTAATAGCCTAGGGCTTATAGGGGAAGAAAACAGACCCTGTTGCAAGCTTAGACAGGGGATGGAAGGAGTTTTAAAATGAGAGAGTGACCCTTTTCAGTTTGTATGAATACTAATTTTTGTTTCTTTGTTTTGTTGTTTTCTTTTTGAAACAGAGTTTCTTTGTCTAATAGCCCTGGCTGTCCTGGAACTTGATCTGTAGACCAGGCTGGCCTTGAACTTACAGAGATCCACCACCTTCTTCTCAAGTGCTGGAATTAAAGGCGTGTACCACACCACCACCTGGCTTACTTCTTATTTTAAATTTACCTTATTTTACTTACTTATAGTCATTATTTGGGGAGGGAACAAGTGTATATGAATGGCGGTAGTCAGACAACAACTTTCAGGGGTCGGTTCTCAACCTCCCACCAGAGGTTCTGGGGATCAAACTCCCAAGTTCAAGGTTGTGCAGCAAGCCTTTACTCCCACTGAGCAATCTAGTCAGACCAAAACCACTGCTAAAGAGTGCTGTGTGGATTTGGACAGATGGCTCAGCAGTTAAGAGCACTGGCTGTTCTTCCAGAGGTCCTGAGTTCAATTCCCAGCACCCACAAGGTGGGTCACAGCCTCTGTAATGAGACCCTGCGCAGTCTTCTGGCATGCAGGTGTGCGGGCAAGCAGAAGGCTGTATATGTAGTAAATAAGTCTTAAGACAGTGTTGTGGAACTTTAACTATGTAAAGGTGTGTTTTTATTTATGCTAGATTTGTTTAGTGATGTTAAGATGTGTTGCTTTGCCCACCTAAGGCACCTGATTGGTCTGATAAGAAGCTTAATGGTCAATAGCTAGACCAGAGAGGGGTGGGAGGGGCTGGCAGGCAGAGAGATTAAGTAGAAGGAGGAATCTAGGAAGGATAGAGGAGAGAACCAGGGGGGAGAGAGAGGGGGAGGGAGAGGGAGAGAGAGAAGAAGGGAGAGAGGGAGGGAGAGAGAAAGGGGAGGGAGGGAGGGAGAGAGAAGGAGGGAGAGAGGGAGGGAGGGAGAGAGAGAAACAAGGAGGGAGAGGAGCGAGGGAGAGGACCGCGACCAGTTAGGTAGCTAAACATGGCCCTGAAGGAATATGTAAATGAAGAGAAGCAGGTTAATTGAAGTCGGAAGAGTTAGTAGGATGAGCATTCATAACTAAAGACAAGTCTCTGTGCATGGACTACGTTGTGAGTTGTGGGTTATCCTGAGCTACAGAGCAAGACCTTCTTTTACAATATAAATTAATTAATTAATAAAGCCAGGTATGGTGATTGATGCATGCCTTTAATCCTAGCACTCAGGAGGTCAGGCAAATGTTCTCTGAGAGTCAGAGGCCACCTTAGTCTACATAACCAGTCCCCCCCCAGTCAAACCTACATAATGTGACCCTGTCTTAAAAGTAATAAAAGAAAAAAGAAAAGAAAGAGAGCTGGAAGCCAGGCGGTGCTGGCACACGCCTTTGATCCCAGCACTCAGGAGGCAGAGACAGGCGGATCTCTGTGAGTTCAAGGCCAGCCTGGTCTACTGAGTGAGTTCTAGGACAGACTCCAAAGCTACAGAGAAACCCTGTTTCAGAAAACAAAAGGGGGGGGGCTGGAAAGATGTCTCAGCAGTTAAGAACACTGGCTGCTCTTCCAGAGAACCTGGGTTCAATTCCAAGCAGCCACACAGGGTCTCACGACCACCTGTAATTGTGGCTACAGACACCCTCTTCCAGCCTTCAAGGACAGCAGGCTTGTAAGTGGTATAGACACACACACATATAAAATAAAAATAAATTTTATCGAGGGACCAAACAAGGGCATACAGAGACAGCGGGGAGGGAGAGACTTTAAACCGATGCTGAGTCATTCTTCCTTAGCATTATTTTTAATTGTGGGGTGCCGGTGACTGCCTGGGACCTTGAGCTGCCAGGTGTATGATGCACCCATGAACTACATCTGTCTCCAGACCCTACTTCAGCATTTTCTCTCCAGATTTTGGCTCTATGCAAAGTAGAGAACCCAGAGCAGGGCATGACCCTGTTCCTCTGCACAAGAACTGTTTTCAAACTGGGGGGGGGGGGACACGGGGACTCAGGGATACAGGAGGATGAGATGGAAGGATCCTTAGTGAACAGAAATTCTAGACCAATTAGCCAGACCCCACCTAAAAAAAAAAAAGAAAGGAAAGGAAAGGAAAGCGGATGGCGGAGGGAAAGGGGAAATGGTGTCACATTTCTGCGGATGTATGCAAGTGTGTGTGGGCGCCCAGAAACAGGATTCAGAATGGGTGTGGAGCTTGGAGCTTGACTCTTGATCTTCAAGACCTTGTAAGAGGAGTTTTGCAAGGTGGCTTCAAAGGGCTCTCTTTGCAGCCTTCAGGTCGGTGCCCTTGCTGAGCTGCTGTGCGTGTCCTCTGCACCAGCTTGCTCACTGGTGGTGAGCAGGGGTAATGCTGTGTGGGGGTGGACGTTGCTCCTCATACGAAGGAAGGCAGCTTGGTTATGGAAGTTTGGAATCAGATCCTTATCCACTTTGGGAGACACCGTGACGGGACATTACTGGCCCATGTCCTGCTGCCTGGAAACAGTTATCAAGTGGATTGGAAAGTGCTGCCTGCCCGTTTTTCAGGTGATATAACAGTCAGAGAGAATTCCACTGACCTACCTGTGCCATTGGTCACTGCCCGCCCCTCCCCTGCCGATTTCCTGCCACCTCCAGCCAGGCTGTCCCCGGGAAGTGGGTGAAAGGAGATGCCAAGGCCAACGCCAAGGCCTCTCGTCACCTCCCAGGGGGCGGTGCCCCTCCTTGATACTCCCGCCGGAGCATAAGGAAGAAGCACTTTCAGTCACCCAGGTGGTGGCAGGTGGGCTGAGGGAGGGCTGGCAGCCCGCCAGCCCCAGGCTCCATCCCCTTTCCTCTCGTGCTGTGGCCACGAAGTGGCTGTCACAAGACCAGGAGCTGAGAATGCCCCAGGCTCTGGAGCAAGCAGACGGCAGATGGGCCTGGGTGGTCCTGCTGGCCTCCCTGGTGACCCAGGCCCTCACCGTGAGCTTCCCTTCCTGCATCGGCGTCTTCTTCACTGATCTGCAGCGTGACTTCCAGGCCACCAACAGTGAGACCTCATGGTTTCCCTCTGTCATGGGGGCCATGCTCCATGGTGGGGGTGAGCGGCTTGAAGAGGGGGTGAGGGGACGAAGGGTCTGTTGGGGGCTGGGGGGGACCCTCTCTCCGGGGCCACATGCTTTACCTCCCCACCCCTCCCCCGGATGCATTGCTGAGGTTTCCTTGATTTGACCAGGGCCTGGCCCACCTGGCTAGGAGCCAGCTGCATTGTGCCCTGTTCCTCGAAGCCTGGGCTGCATTAGTGAGGAGAAAGTGGAATGACACCTGAGGCACGCTGTCAGCAAGGATTTCAGAGTCCTCTTGGTGACTGATCTGGAGCGAGGCACTCAGTGGCAGAGTGACAGCTGGTACCGAGGCCGCCTCTCAGGACTTTCTTTCCCGTGTGATGTAACAGGGGAGACCTCATGGGTCTAGTATGGACTAGGAAATATATGGGGCTGTGAATTATTAGTATTCTAGCTAGCGATCCTCACTGTGGCTTCCTGGCAGGACAGGACAAGCCTTAAAGGGGGTCACGGCAGACAAAAGCTCCATCTCTCCCTGGAGAGTCCCTTACAGACCCTGGAGCTTAAAGAGGAGACTGACCCCCATCCCCCCCTTCTCCTTACCATACCAGGTGGCACCAGTGACCTCTCCCCAGGACCTAGGAGGGTGACTCCACAGACAGAGACCTCGAAGGGGGTCCGGTCAATGACAGCGCAGCGAACACACACACACACACACACACACACACACACACACACACACACACACACACGTTTGTTTGGCTCTGCCGATCCCAGCTCCCCAGAAGCCTTCCCACCATTCCTCCATCTGCCTGATGATTATTTCAGATACTTCCCTCACACTGAGAAAAAGGAAAGTCGGGGTTGCGGAGATTGTCAGCCTCCATGATGACCCTGAATTGACCACCAAAAGTGTGGACTTGGGGTGAGAAGGAGAAGCCGAGCCTGGTCTAGAATGTGTGGCCTCCAGCCTTACAGGGCTGGAGTGTACAGTGGAGGTCTCAGAGGGATCGTTGCCTTGCAGGCATTAGAGGCTAGAGACTGGGTACCCTGTGGACACCCCAATTCACCAGCCAGCTTTGGGCCACTGCCCAGTCACAGACACACCCACAACTTCTGCTGCTGGTGTGAGTTCCCTACCTGCCCATCTTCTCACTTGCATACGTGTGTGAATCTGTAGAGGGAAGCAAGGCCTGCAGGGACTGGGGGGGGGGGTCTGAAGGCAAGGGACAATGCTCAGCCAGGCAAAGGGCACAGGTGACTCAGGATCCCCACCCCAGCTCCACCCTCTGCCCATCTATGACTCAGAACTCTTCCCAGGGTCACCTCCCTGAGTCAGGTAACATCCCAGAGGTAGGGAAGACACGTGGGCCTGCGGTCACATCCATCCAAGACTCCTTCCACACTGCGGCGGCGGCTGGCTCGGCGGCTTGTTCTCAGGCATGGGCTGGCTCACACAAGGCACCTCCTCCCATCCAAGATACGCACTTGTGATCTGTGTGCATACACTTCCTCTGCCCTCTGGGAACGTTACCGCGAGCCTCTCCATTGTACGTGTCTCGGCGTGGGGGTGGGGTGCTCAAAGAGTGTGGGCCTGTGAGATATCTAGGAACAGTTGGCCAGTTTGCCTGGTTTCCCCTTGCCAGGAGGCAGGGCTGTCAGAAAGCACCTGGGCGTGAGACCGGGCCCTTCTCCATGCAGGCCAGATAGCTTATTGGTTGAGGGAGCTTCAGATTGGATAGCTTCGGGAGCCACCTACCTCCCTCCCTCCCTCCCTCCCTCCCTCTCTCCCTTTCCTCTCTGTATCTCTTAGACTCTCCCTGCTTCCGGCCTCTCTCTGTTTCTCTGTCTCTCAGTATATCTCCCTTTCAGTCTCTCTTCCTCCCAATCTCAATCTCTCTCCCCCCTCTCTGTCTTTCTCTCTGCGTGTCCAAAAGACAGAGCCCAAGGCCTACATGCTGAACATGCTTCCTCTCCCGCTCGCTCGGCTGCAGCTGCAACCTCAGCCTTGGGTGCATGGATTGGGAAGTGGCTAGAATCGGTGAGAGAGGGCAGAGAGAATCTGGCCTGATTTTCTCCCCAGCACTCCAAAGGTCAGAGAAAGGTGGCACAGAGTAGTAAAGGGTCCGATCTTCTGTGGGCTGTGTGAGAGGGAGGGCTGGATGCTGAGCTCAGTATTCTAGGGGCTCTTTCTGGGGTGACCCCAGCAAGGGTGTGATGCTCACGGTGGGGGGGGCATCATAATCCCACCCACGTCCTTACGGTGGTCTCACACCACCTAGCCCAACCACTTGTTCTCTAGGGGAGGAGACTGAGGCAGAAAGAGGCGGGAAACCTTTCTGGGGCCGAATGGCCAGACTGCGTCAGGGTGGAGACCAGAAGCCACGTTAGCAGATTTTTCGCTATCTCTAAATCCCCTTGGCTAGTTCCTCCTAGAACCCCTCTCTCAGCCCTTCTGTGTCCTGACCCCAGACCTCCTCACCCACTGCTGCTTGTCTTGCCTACAGGACCCCTGTGCAGCGTCCTCATAAAACATTTTGGCTGCCGAGTGACCATGATGCTGGGTGGCATGCTGTCCAGCCTGGGTATGGTGGTCAGCTCCTTCTCTGCCTCACTCAGCCAGCTCTTCCTTACTGCAGGACTCATCACGGGTAACTGTCACTCTGTTCAAAGTGGCGGGGAAGGTGGGATTGCTTACAGCCCGGGGGAGAAGACAGCCAGGGGACAGGTCCATAAGAATGCTTGAGAGGACAGGCCAGAACAGGGCTAGGGATGTGACAGCCTCCTGGCCTGCGGGAATGTGAGCAAGTATGAAGAGTCAAGAAGGAAGATACGGGAGGCTACGGAGTGAGACCCTGTGTCAGCTTGAGGCAGACCGGACTACATCATGGGTGTCAAGCCAGCCTGAGCTACAGAGTAAAACTCAGTCTCAAACAAACATGCAAAAGAAAAAGCTGTACTCAGTGCATGGTCAGGGAGCAAGAGAGAACAAAAGGAATTAGAGGGTCCCAGTAGCCCATGACCCAATGATCTCCTGTTGAGCCTCACTTTCCCCCCCCCCCCCGGGGCTGAAGAGATAGCTTAGCCCCTCTTCCAGAGGACCTAGGTTCAAATCCCAGCACCCATTTGCAGCTACAACTGTCTGTCACTTCAAGGTCTGACACCCCCATACAGACACACCTGCAGGCAAGACACTAGTGCAAATAAAAGTAAATAAGTTTTTAAAAAGAATAAGCCTGGGGATGGTGACACACACCTTTAATTCCAGGACTTAGGAGGAAGAGATAGGCTGATCTCTGAGTTCGAGGCCAGCCTGCTCTACTACAGAACAAGTTTTAGGACAGCCAGGACTACACGGAGGAAACCCTGTCTTGAAAAAACAAAACAACAACAACAAAAAAAAGATTTATTATTTTCATTGTGTGTGTACCAGTATAGATCTGTACGTCATATCCACGCCTGTTACCCCTAGGAAGCCAGAATAGGGCATTGGATTCTCTGGAACTGAAGTCATGGAGGGTTTTAAACCACCATGTGGTGCTGCAGCTTGAGCCCAAGTCTTCTGGGAGAGCAGCCAGCGCTCTTAACCACAGAGTTATCTCTCTACTCCTAGGCCACGTGTCTTAAAGTTTTCATATTGCCAACAGCACTGAGCTAGGGGCCAAGCCTTTGCTATGTGAGCTAGTTGGTTTGGTTTGGGTTTTTCAAGACAGGGTTCCCTGTGTAGCCCTGTAGATCAGAGATCCACCTGCCTTTGCCTCCCAAGTGCTGGGATTAAAGACATTTGCCACCATACCCAGCTGCTATGTGTGTTTTTAAGGGACGCTTATTAGAACCGAGCAGCATTCTAGGTAGAGGGAATTGCGAATGTAAAGTTCTCTGAGGTACGGGGCAGTTGGTAAAGAGCTTGTCTTGTGAGCATGAGGACCTGAGTTCAGAACTCAACATGGAAAAGCAAAGTGTGGTGTCCCATCTTCTACTCCCAGTGCTGAGGAGGTGGCGAGAGGGCGGATCCTTACGGCTCACAGGCTGGCCAGCCTAGGGTATTTGGTATGTTCTGGGCCAGCGAGAGACTCTGTTTCAAAATAGGATGCATGGCACTAAGGGATGAGACTTGAGAATTTTACACACACATGCACACACCAGACAGTGGTCACAGACTAGAGATGTAGGAACAAGGGGCCAAGAGGCAGGACAGAGGCCCAATGGAGGCTTAATTTAGAAGTGTCTTTGTACTGAGATGGGACACCACCTGAGTTCAGGCAGAGGGGTGCGTGACATTGTCTAAGATGCTAAAGCATCGTTCTGGCTCTGGTGACTCTAGGGGTGAATGGACAGGAGCAGGCAGCACACATCCAGATCCCAGGTGCTCGTGGTTTGAGCAGCATGGAATGATGAAGTATAGGGTAGGCAGGGTTCAGATTAAAAGGGTGAGATGACCACAAAGCTACTTGGAGGATGGAGAAACAAGATGTGAAGCTTAGACAGGCTGAGGTCCTAGGGAGAGGGACAGGCAGCCCAGGCTCAGATGGGAACATCTTGAGATGAGGGTGCTGGGCAGTGGTGCTTCACCTTTAATCCCAGCACTTGGGAGGGAGGCAGAAGCCGGTGGATCTCTGTGAGTCCAGCATGGTCTACAGAGCTAGTTCCAGGACAGCTAGGGTTACACAGAAAAGCCATGACTCAAAAAACCAAAACCAAACAAACAAAATCTTGAGATGAGGGATCTCCCTGCCGTCCCTGAGGGAATGAGGGTGACAGCTGAGGAGAGAAGCATCTGGGTAAAGCTCAGCCAGAAGCTGATGGTCAGAACAGTTTTCACTCGAGTGAGTGATGGACCATGCCTGCCCTTCAGCACTAAGACCTTGATGAGAACAAACCCAGCTATGGGTCAAGATATGGAAGGAGCAAGTTCGTTCAGTTCAGCCGTGAAAATAAGTGACGGAGAATATGTGCTCAGTGCACAGTGCCTGCCTTGCCTTCCTGGATCCCCACTAGGAAAGCAGATGCAAGAGATGAGGCTGGGACCTGGCATTTCCCCTCTGTCCCTGTCTGCCCCTCTCCTCTGCCCCTCCCCCTCGTCTTTCCAGCCTCCCCTCGGTCTTTCGGCCTCTCCTCTTCATTCTTTTTGTTGGAAGGGTTAAAGCAGGGGCTCCCTTATGTCCTTTAGCCAGGCCTTGAACTCAGAGCAAGCCCTTTCTCTGCCTCAGCCTCCTGAGTGCTGGGAGGACAGGCGTGTACCCCCATGTCCAGTTCCTTAACCCTCTTTCTTTTTTCCTCTTCTTCTTTTCCTAGGTCTAGGGATTAAATCCAGAGCCTTATACAAGCATGCATTCTACCCCGGTACATCCCCAGCCCCTGAGTAAAAGATTCCGAGAAATGGAGTAGTAACCAGAAGTTGTGGTGTTAGAACAACACATATTCATCTGTTTTGCTTTCCTAGAAATTTGTATTTGTTTTGCTTATTATTGTGGTTTTGAGACAGGGAAGCCCTTGGCTAGTTTGGAACTCTAGATGTAGACCAGGTTGGCCTCAAACTCACAGAGATGTGCTTGCATAGCCTCCAGAGTGCCGGGATTAAAGGTGTTTACTACCACAAAGACTGGCCCAGTAAAGAAGGGAAAAGAATAATTCAAAACAGAGAAATTGCTGGTGGGAGGGCTTGAGGAGACAGGCCAAAGGGCAGAAACAGAGCTGAGGGCATGGGTGAGCCACTGCCAAAGGACAGCTAAGTGAGGAGGGCTTTGGACGGCAGAGAGGAAGAAGCCTGGCCCGCCACCCAGAGGGGCTTTTCCCCCAGTGCTGATCACAGGAGGCACAGGGAGACACTCTGGGAGGGTGGTGTCCCGGTGCGGGTAAAGACGTGGCCCTGACAAAAGTCACAAAGTAGAAGGGCAGTTTGCTGTTTAGAGAAGGAGCCTGTAGCGTTTGACCCTGGTGACTGACAACAAGCGGCTTGAGACAAATCCCAGGGCTTAGGCCAAAGCCAAACCAAAGTCTTCCAGGGCAGAGAAGACACTTAGGATGTTTAAGTGTGACAGGAAGTCTTTGGGAGTCCTTAAAAGCTGATGTTTAAAATGTCACTGTAGCCAGGCAGTGGTGGCAAACCCTTTTAATCCCAGCACGCAGGAGGCAGAGGCAAACAGATCTCTGTGAGTTCAAGGCCAGCCTGGGCCACAGAGCAAGTGCCAGGACAGGCTCCACAGCTACACAAAGAAACCCTGTCTCAAAGAACAAAAATAATAAACAAACAAATAAATAAAATGTCACTGCAAAGAGCTCCAGAGATGGTTCAGTGCTATCAGTGTGTAGTGCTTTTGCAAAGGACCTGAGTTTATTTCTCAGGAGCCATATAAAGTGGATCACAACACTGTGGCTCCAGCTCCAGAGGATCTGATGCCTCTGACCTCTGTGGGTACGGGAGGTGGGTATACACAGACACACATGTAATTAAAAACAAAGATAAGCCGAGCGTTGGTGGCCCTGGTCTACAGAGCGAGTTCCAGGACAGTCTCCAAAGCGATACAGAGAAACCCTGTCTCAAACAAACAAAACAAACAAAAAACCAAAAGACAGATAAATAAATTAAACAAATCTAAGGGCAGGAGAGATGACTCAGCAATTAAGAACACTTGCTGCCCTTGCAAGAGGACCTGCCTTCAGTTCCCAGAACCTACACGCTGGCTCACAGCCGAGTGAAATTTCAGTTCCAGAAGATCCTATGTCCTCTTCTGAGCTCCACAGGTATCAGGCATGACCATGATGCGTATCCACACATGCAGGCAAAACATTCATACACATAAAATGGATAACTCTAAGAGAAAATTTCTTTGAGACAAAGTCTCACTATGTAGCCCTGGCTGGCCTGGAACTCATAGAGATCCGCCTGCCTCTGAATTCTGGAATTAATGTCACTAACTACAATAATGCCTGAATGAAAAAAATTAAGGTTATTACGGTGCTGGCAGAGGGGAGCTGGGAGGAAGAGATGGGTCAGATGCTTACAGGCAGGCGGTCAGGTGCCTTCCATCACGGGAACTTGCAAGTGTGTCTGACCTAGAGCCAAAGAAGACAGACATGTAACATGAGCCAAGACCCCCCTATTCCATGTAGAGATGGAAAGTCCCAAAATGTCCCTGAGCTGATGCCTCCTCTCGCTCTACAGGCCTGGGCATGTGTTTCAGCTTCCAGTCAAGCATCACGGTCCTGGGCTTCTATTTTGTTCGCCGTCGACCACTAGCCAATGCACTGGCCTCCATAGGAATCTCTATAGGCGTCACTCTCTGGCCACTGCTGGCCCGGTATCTTCTGGAAACCCTGGGCTGGAGAGGAGCCTTCCTCATCTTCGGTGGGATCTTTCTCCACTGTTGTGCATGTGGAGCCCTCCTGAGGCCTGTTGCTACCAACGTGGTCCCTGAGCCCAAAGAAGATCTCCTTCTACCTCCCAAGACACCTACACGCAGCTGCCTGGCGACATGTGTCTCAACCATCCAGTACCACCTGGCCTTTGACATCCTTCGGCACAATGTGGGCTTCTGCATCTATGTGACGGGTGTGGCGTGGATGATGCTGGGCTTCCCTCTGCCACATATCTTCCTGGTACCATACGCCTTGCACCAAGGGGTGGATGAGTACTGGGCAGCCATGCTCATGTCTGTCATCGGCTTCTGCAACATCTTCTTACGGCCGGTGGCAGGGCTGTTGGCGGGCAGGAAGAGCTTGGCAGCCTACCGGATATATCTGTTTGCCACGGCAATTCTTGTCAATGGGCTCACCAATCTATTGTGCACGGTGTTAGCGGACTTCTCGGGGCTCTTGAGCTATTGCTTGGTGTACAGCCTGTCCACATGTGGTGTCGGGACCCTCCTCTTCCAGGTCCTCATGGACATTGTCCCGATGGATCGGTTCCCCAGTGCCCTGGGCCTCTTGACTGTCCTCTGTGGTGTGGTATCTCTCATCTCCCCTCCACTAGCTGGTGAGAGCCTGGGAGGGAGGGCAGCCAGGCATGCCCAGGTGGAGCCTGTATCGGTAGGTCGTAGAGGGCAAAGCAGAGGAGAACACCTAGACAGATCTGAGCCGAGTCTACCATTGCCACAAGGGTCTTGGAATCTGGGATTCCAAAGCAGCTCAGGGACCATGCTACAGTGTGTTATCTGCCTGACAATCAAGGTATGAAAAGATAGGCTTTTGACCAGACACGGTGATACACGGCTGTAACCCCACAATGGGAAACGGAGGCAGAAGGATCAAGAGTGTAAAGTCATACTTGGCTACATAGCAAATCTGATGCCAGCCTGGGCTATGTAAGACCCTGTCCCAGCCTCCCCATCAGAGAAAAGAGAGAGGGGCTGCTCTTCCAGAGGGACCTGAGCTCATTGCTAGCACCCACATGGTGGCTCATAACCCCAGTTCCAGGGAATACAGGGCCCTCTTCAGACCTCTACAGCACACTTACATACATGTAGGTAAAATGTTTATATACCTACATGTATGTAAGTGTAGGTATATGAACATTAAGGTAGGGAGGGGTTGGAGAGATGGCTCAGAGAGATGGCTCAGCAGTTAAGATCACTGGCTACTCTTGCAGTTCCCAGCATCCACACGGTAGCTCACAGGCACCTGTAACTCCAGTTTTAGAGGGTCCCTGCCCCCTTGTGGCCTCTGTGGGTACTGTACACATGTGGCCTGGAGACAAAATACTCATTCGCTTAAGTAAAAGATTTTTCAGCAGGGAGAGGGAAGGGAGGAGAGAGGGAAAGGTTTTGCGCTCCAGACCCACGCGAATCTTTGCTCCTATCAGTAAAGCATGCTGATGAGAGGCACGGCCTTGTAAGGATCCCAAGGTATGAAGGAAAGGGCATGGCTCATGATAAGAGCTGTACCTGTGCTTACAGTAATGAACATCCTGCCAGGAAAACCACAGCGCCAACTCCAAAACACAGAATAGAGCACGTGCTATGACCTCCACCCAGAACAGTCACGGAGTGAGTGCCCCGAGTCAAAACCTCAGACTTGGGCCTTACCTTCAGGAGCGGAAGCAAAGGGACATGTAGGGACTGAGGAAAACAAACGGAGTTTGTAAAATGAGACCCAGGGGGAAGGTGACTGCTCAGCTGAGGGAGGAATCTTCAGAGTGAGTGGGAGGAGGCTGGTCCTGCAGGCAGTGGCGACACTAAAGCAGCCAGTTACCATGGTCAGACCCTTCCTATACTCACCTCAGTAAGCAACCTTATTTATTTGTTTGTTTTTGGTTTTTCAAGATAGGGTTTCTCTGTGTAGCTTTGGAGACTGTCCTAGAACTCATGCTGTAGACCAGGCTGGCCTTGAACTCATAGATCCGCCTGCCTCTGCCTCCTGAGTGCTGGGATTAAAGGTGTGCGCCACCAGCATCAGTGAGCCCTTTTCCCGAGTGTGAGTTTCAGTTTCCCAGGAAGTCCTGCAGGCAGATGAGTGACTAAAGAGACAGGGTTGGGGCTAAGGTAGGGCTATGGCTGGGCAAACAGCTCAGATTCCTCTAGCCCTTCCGTTCCTTTTCCCTGATGCCAAAAGTAAAGGGCCCTTGGGTTCCCTCCTGGAGAGGACATCTGCTTAGGTCAGAGGCCAGGTGCTTCCTCCCTTCCTCTTACTCCACACAAATCTATTGTGCACCTCCAAGGTACCAGCCATAACTTCTTGTTGAGCAGAAAGGAATCTAAAATCTCTACCCTCCTCAAATACACGTTAGTTGGAGGACCCCCTTTAGCTCCCATGGTGGATTAACTTGTTCTCTGTCCCCTAGGACTCCTGCTGGACATGACCAACAACTTCAACTATATTTTCTATGTGTCAAGCTTCTTGCTCATCTCGGCCTCCCTCTTCATAGGAGGGGGCTTCTATGCTGTGCATAAGAAGAAGCTGAAGCAAAATGGACAAGCCAAGGTGGAAGATGCCATCTCAGAGACTACCCCGATGCAGGGTCTTACCTCAGAAGACAAGGCCAGCACCAAGAAGCAACTATGCACTGAAAACATATGTGTGACCACTGTCTGAACTCCAGAGGTCCCATGTGACCTGCCTCCAAGCTGGGAAGTCCCCGAGGGACTGTCCTTCCAGAAAGCAGAGTGTAGAAATGGGTCCTTGGGTCCCAAGAAGATGGATGTGAGCCCTGCTTGAAGCAGTCTTGGCTAGCTACCCTGCGCTGGCTTCTCCCAGCTGCTCCTACAACCCAACACACGGTGCATCTTCCCACCCAACCTTCCCACGACGATTGTCCTTCTTAGCCTCCAGACAATTCTGAAAATTTTCAAAGATTCCAAGAACTTCCTCTTCTCTCTTTTCAAATAATCAGCCCTGGCCCCTTAGGTGAGGAGGGTTAAGGGTGCTGCTTCAGAAACAGACCCTCTCGCTGACCATAACCATGGGAGAGGAAGGGCTGGAGGCCAGGATGAGAAGTCGGCCTCAGTACAAGATGGGCACAAATTGTTCGATGGATTACAGGTCCTGACACCTATGCAGATAGCTGTCCCAGAGAGGTCCTCCTGCTTGGGTCTCAAAATTTATGAAGTCTGAGGAGTCATCTACCGTCAAGCAGGGCCTGACTCAGCATCTTCCCTTTTACCATACTTTGTATCCACATAAGGGACATCTGACAGAGCAGGAAACCAGAAGGCCGGCTGAGCAGCCTACAGAACATTGTGGAAACTGGATGTGTATATGCAAACGGTAGCCTGTGCTCTGCTCTTGACCTTCTGAGGTTCCCCTTCCTCCAGGATGTGGCAGTAACTGCTGCTAGCCTGAACCCATGGCCTGGAGCCATGCCTATGCACACATTTCTGCTCTCTGAGGTCATTTACCGAGGGCTAGCTGTCATCAGCCAAGGCTTGTCCCAGGGGCACTCCTGGGGATGGAAAAACAGACTGTTTGAATTTTATACAAAAACATTCCCTGAAGCAGGTCATAAACCCTGGACTAACAAAGCAGGAAAAGCTGCCTGAGTAAATTTCCTCCGCTCTCTCAGCTTGGAAGAAAGTTCTTGGTCGTGTTTATTGGTTCAGGCTTAGCCAGGCTGCAACAAGAAAACCTTATCAGGAAAAACGATTTTATTTTCATGACTGACGCCAGCCTTCCTCCTCCACAGAGCCATCTGGCATGAATAAGCATCTCTAGGATTGTCCCGACTCCTCTAAGATGCTATCTTGAGTGCCCCCTCATGGTCAAAGGTAGTACTGCAGCGGTGCATTTGCTGAGTTGTTGCTTCTGTTCGCTACCTCTAGACCTCGGATGGAGATGGCTGAATAAGCAGGTAAAGGTCCTTGCTGCCAAGCCTGGCAACTTGAGGTTGATCCCTGGGTCCCACATGGTGGAAGGAGAGGCCCCACTACCACAAGCTGTTCTCTGGCCTTCTCGTGTGCACTTTGGCATTTGCACGCACACAAATACATGCAAAAATAAATGTAATTTTAAAAAAATGTTTGGCCTGTAGGAGATAATGTCACCTTCAGATTGAAAAGTCTGCCTCTGTGTCTAACCCCCACTGTTTTCCTAATCCCAACTTGGTCCTGAGCTTGGTCACAGGCATAGCTTTTGCTCTGAAGGGGAGAATGCCAGGACCTATTTCTCTGCTCTAATGGAAAACAGAGTTGGTGCTAACAGGTCCACTTCCAGGAGGCGTTTAAGTAACGTCCAGCTAAGAAATGTTCATCTCACTTACCCATTGGTAATAATGGCATTAGTCTATAAGCAACCAGCAAAGAAGAAACGAGGGTAGGAAATGTAGCTTAGAATGGTAGTGTGTACCAAGCCATGGGTTCAATACCCAGCCTCAACCAAGCCTGGACGTGTTGTAATCCCAACACTCAGGAGGTGGAGGCAGGAGGATGACAAGTTCAAGACATTCTTGGCTACATAGTAAGTTCAAAAGAAATCTCTGGGCAAAATCCCTTTAACAAATATTTATTGAGCATCTACTGTATTCCAGGAACCAAGCAGAGGGCCTAAGTGTTGTTCCTTTGTTACAGTTATAGTGATAAAAGCTGGAGAAGGGGGTGGAGTGGTCCCGCATGGGGGTCTCAAGGTAAGGGACCACGTGGGAGAGCATAGCAGGTTCCATAGCGGGTGAGGATGACCGAGGCCAAGGGAATAAATAACACGCCAGGCAGACAGAGCTTAAATGAGGAGTTTATTTAGAAAGGGGAGTGAGGGGGAAGGGAAGAGACATAGAGGCACCGGGAATAGAAGAGAACTGGAAGGCTAAAGAGTGTGAAAAAGAGAGAGGGTAAGTGGGCAGGGTCTGACTTTTAAAGGGTCCTTTGCACCTGCCTGCAGACTAGTAGTCATGGAACTCTGGGCTGACCAGAGTACTGCCTGAGTGCATTCTGCCAGGTGACAGGAGTAGGCCAACGTAAGGCCTGAATCCTTACACTAAGTCCATGTCACTCTGCCCTTGGCACAAAACCAGAGGCTGAGGCTTCTTTCCCAGAGGGAGCACCCTGAAAATCTGGGAGACTTGAATGACGTTTGAAATTCCAGAACCCACACTTTGCTGATCCCCTCAAAATCTAGAGATGGTTCAAAGGAGTTCCTGGCCACAAAACAAACAAAAACACCTGGAGCTTGGTTCCATGTTGTCCCCAAGCCCCAGGCTCCTGGTCTTTGACTCTCTTTCTAGTCAGAGGCCAAAGAGACCCGTCACCATCTTGAGCTGAGATGTACTTCCCCAGGCTAGACAGGCTCCTCACAAAACACATAGGGCCCAGAGTTCTCTCGGAGCAGCCTGTGTACTCAAGCACCCAGACTAAGGTCAAAACTCTCGTCCCAGGATGGCACTGGGCAGGGATTAACCACAGACTTGAACCCCAGAGGTGGGAGCCAGGGAAAGGTAAAGTACATACGCCATTCTGCTATAATTCAGGACCCTGGTACCAAACACAGAGCTAAGTACCTGACCCTTGAGCCTTGCCCTAAAAGACCTCACTGCCTGCATCCTCCACCTCCATGACGACAGCATCCCTTCCTGATGCGCCTTGGGACCCTTAGATCCTGTTTTGGGTTTGGGGAATGTTTTGTTTTGTAGTCAGGGTCTTGCCATGTAGCCCTGGCTTGCCTTGAGCTCTGTTCTCCAACTCACAGCGGTCCTCCTGCCTCTTCCTCCAAATGCTGGGATTAAAGTACCACCTAGATGCCTAGATGACCGCAAGGCCCGTCTGTCCATCGGTCCCATCCACCTTTCCCTCCCTCCCTTTCCCCTCTTTCTGGCTTCCCTTCCCTCCTCCCTCTACAAATCCCCGCGGCTGCGCAGCTGACGCCCAAAGCCAGGAGCCAGAGAATCGGCGCGGGAAACCCAGGAGGCGCTCAGTAGCCACGCCCAGCCCCGTCCTGGCCCTGCCCCTTCCGCTCCCTGGGGCGGGGCTAGAGCGATTTCCGCCCGAGCCCGGAAACGGCGGGGAGAGCGCGGAGAGGGGCGTGTCTCCGGTTCCAAATCGCCGTGGCTTGTCACCCGGGTTGAATTCGGTTTTCAAACCCGGCTCTGACAGGATCTGAGACCCTCACCGACCCCCATAGCCCATTTCCGGCTGCCACTCGCTGCAGGCTCGGAACCCAGGGCCGGGCCGGCTTCGGCTGCCGCTTGTCGCCCCCGAGCACAGATCAGGGTCCAGGCGAAGGCTTCGCGCGGCCTTGTGGCCTCGTCCTTCCCACCCATCCTCCCGGCCCCTTCGCCGCTTCAGCCATGGCACAGAAACCCAAGATAGACCCCCACGTCGGGCGGCTCGGGTACCTGCAGGCGCTGGTCACTGAGTTCCAGGAGACCGAGAGCCAAGGTGAGAGGTGCGGGGTGGGCGCGAGGGACCGGGCAGGGCCCCGACGGCAGCAGCCGCACGGGCCCGACCCCAGCCCCGCTTCCCATTGCAGACGCCAAGGAACAAGTCCTCGCCAACCTTGCCAATTTCGCCTATGACCCGGGCAACTACCATTATCTGCGGCAACTGCAAGTCCTGGACTTATTCCTCGATTCGCTGTCGGAAGAGAATGAAACTCTAGTGAAGTTTGCCATTGGTAAGGGTTAGACCGGCCCCCAGGTATGGACTAAAGTGACATCAGAGATTTAGAAGTGAGTCCATAAGCCAGGCGTGATGGCACCCGCCGCCTGTAAACCCAGCATTATGGGAGGCTGAGACTGGAGGATTGCCACTACTTGGAGACCAGCCTGGGATACAGAATAAGACACTGTCACAAAACGAAACCAGTCTTTAGGATAGGAATCTCATCTGCCAGGGCAGAATTCCCATCTCCTCCTCCATACGTTGTCGGGGTCACAGCTAGTCTGAAACAGGTCTGGAAGTCACTGCCAGATCTTCGCGTCTTTCCTTCTTAGAAAAGAGAGAATAATCAAAGAAATGAGTCGAAATTGCTTTGATAGAAGTTTGGAGCTTGCTCTTATATCAAGAGACGAAATGGTGACTTGGAATTTATAGCTTAGGATTCCTGGGTTAGATGATTGTAAGACTGTTTAAATTACTCACTCACTGTGTGTGTGTGTGTGTGTGTGTGTGGGTATATGTACCTAGGTGTATGCTTGATTGAAGGTAAGAAGACAGTGGCTCACACCTTTACCTCCAGCCCTCAGGAAGCAGAGGCAGGCTGATTTCTGTTCAGTTCCAGGCCAGCCTGGTCTATAGAGCGAGTTTCAGGACAGCCAGGGTTGTTGTATAGTCTTGAAAAACCAAAATAAGTAAATAAATAAGGAATAACTTCAGGGCTGGAATGTGGCTAGTGATGGAGTTACCTGTATTATGTTGCATGTACCCACATGCCTGAAGCTCTGTAGATCAATCCTCAGCATTGGAAGAAGGTAATTCCAAAATTGTTTCATATTTAATTATGTACATTTCTCTAACAATACTCTAAAGAACATTTTTTGTATGTGTGTGTGGATAAGTTCAGGGCATGTGCCCTGTTAAAGGACAATTTTGTTGTTATCTTTTTGAGACAAGGTCTCACTATGTAGCCCTGGCTGGCCTGAAACTCGTCTGCCTCACAGATGCTGGGATTAAAGGCATGAACTGCCATCTCTGACTTTCAGAGGACAAGCTGTAGCATCCGTTCCTCTAGTATGTGAGTCCTCTAGTCAGGAGCTCGTCAAGAGTCTTACAGGCCTAAAAGGACACTGTTTGTTACAAGTGGTTTGTATAAACTAAGGTCCAGTTTGGGACCTATACATTTTGTCTAACTTAGAGGAGGCTGGGGAATAGCTTAGTCCATAGAGTGTGTGGGTGGCCCATGCTTGTGATCCCAGCTCTCAGGAGATGGAGACAGGTGGATGAGGAGCTCTAGAGCCTCTCCAGCCACACAGCAAGTCCAAGCCTGAGCCGCCCAAGAATACAAAGTTCCCAGATGGCAACACCCACTTTTTCCTGCTCTCAAACCCCCCCCCCCCCAATTGTATGGTATGTTTGCTATAAGCCAGTACCTGTGCATCATCATTAACCAGAGACTTTATATTGGTCAAAGGTCCTCCAGTTTTTTCGTAATGCCCCTTTTCTGGCCCAAGACCCCACATGACACACATGACGAGATCATCATGTCTCATTTGGGGCTGGGGTTGTGGTAGTGTTTTCTGAAACAGGGTCTCACTACATAGTTCTGGCTGGCCTGGAGCTCCCTATGTAGATCAGCCTGCCTCTGCCTACCGAGTGCTGGGGTTAAAGACTTGTGCCACCATGCCCAGCCTGATGTTTCTCTTCTGTTCTGATGTGAAAGGGAGGTGTTTTACCACATGTCAGGAGCATTTGGGGCTCGTGTGTTGTAGCTCTGCTTATGCTAACCTTTGTGATCTGACTGAGGACATGTTTGCCAGATGTCTTTATTGTGAAACCACCAACCACCTTTCCATAGTGCACTCTTGGGAAGGAGTTACTGCGTAAATTATTTTAAATCTCTTTTTAAAGCTTTTTAAAATTTTTCCTTTACATTTATTTTGTGTCTGTGTGTCTGTCTGTGTCTGTGTATCTGTGTCTGTGTCAGGTTGGGGATGTGGAAGTCCAGGGACAACAGGCAGGAGTCACTTCTCTCCTTCCACCGTGTGAGGTCAAAGGATGACACTCAGGTTGTCAGGCCTGGCAGCAGTGCCCTTAAATCTCTTTTAACCCTTAGGTTTGGGGATTCTTTGTCAGGAGAGATGTAAACAATATCTGTGCCTTCTCTGTAGGGTACCAACAGCAACCAAGTTAGATCCCACCAAAGTACAACTTGGGCAGCCACTGATTTTTATTGGACTTGAAGAATGGGGTGACCCTTTAGCAGCTGTACCAACAAAAGGCCTTGCCCCAGCATAGGGGCGACTTCCCCATAGATGGAGGCCCTGCTCCCTCAGTAAACTGTAGCATCTCCAAGGCCACAGCAGTTAGGGCACAGGCACATACAGCAACTGAGAGGCACAGGAGAGAACCCTGGGACCTTGAGTGAGGGTCTAATGATGCTCTCTCCTTCTCTGGTGCTCTCTCTCTCCCCTCCCTTTCTGAGGGAGCATCAGTAGTCAGAAGTCACAGTGGGCATTCTCTTGTGGACAGTCACAGTTGCACGAAAATGACAGCTCTAGGCCACGTGTGTTTAATCTCAGCTCCCAGGACAAACAGGAAAAAACAATGACAGCATGCCTCACGTTTGGAGGGTAGCGATGACAGTTCCTTAAGATGTTCTTCCTATAGCGCCGATGGTTGAATGGTCTACACCATGTGTATGGATGTCCCACCTTCTTGTGTATCATTTAGTGTGGGCCTCCTTAACCTTTTCTCTCTCAGAAGCCTTATTTGCCTGAGGAAAAAAATTTAGAGGGATGGGTACAATTCAAGACAGGGTTTCTCTGTGTATCCCTGGCTGTCCTGGAACTCACTCTGTAGACCAAGCTGGCCTCAGACTCAGAGATCTGCCTGCCTCTGCCTCCCGAGTGCTGGGATTAAAGGCTTGAGCCACTACTGCCTAAGCTGAGAAATTTTTACTTACATATATAGCTATATAAAATAAGTACACAAAACAAATATTACTATAACAGATCATAAAGACATATAGTTCTGGTATTGGGGGGGTGGAGGTAAGAGAATCACAAATGTAGGGTGAATTTTTTTCAGCTAAAAACTTTGAGGCTACATGAGACACCCTGTTCAAGGGGGTGGGGGAAATCCTTGGTGAACATATAATTTTACTGTTTATTAAAGACAATATTTGTATACTAATAAGAAGGATTGTTTGTTTATTTTTTCACATAATCAAACCTGGGTGAATGTTTGATACTGTGTGACATAGAATATCCTTGGTGTTCGTCAGAGTTTTAATGGTGTTGATTTTATGAGGTCAGTGCAGAGAACACTGATTTATAGAAATATATAGTGACACATGGTAGGTGTATGTTTAGGGCTGGGATTAAAGCTGTGCTTAGCATACCCAGCTGGCCTGCTGTGTCAGGGCCTGCATATTCAGTTACATAACGTCATGTGTGGTTGTGACTTACAGTATAAGAAGCAGTGACTTAAATCGGGCAGTGGTGGTGCACGCCTTAAACCCCCACTCCACATGCAGGCGGTTCTCTGTGAGTTCCAAGTGGGTCTGCTCTACAGAGAGAATTCCAGTTCCAGGACAGCCAGGGCTACACAGAGGAACTTGGAAGGAAAAAAAGGGAAAAAGAAGGAGCAGTAATTTAGCTCGTCCTTCTGTCTCCTTTATTTCCTGTAACCTAAGAATTGGATTGAATAGCCTTACAGCCCAGTGACACTTTTTATCCCTGAATACATTGTGGTGTGATTTGGATTCTTTTGTCTTTTGTTTGTTTGTTTGGTTGGTTTTGTGTTTTTTGTTTTTCGAGGTAGGGCTTCTCTGTGGTTTTTGGAGACTGTCCTAGAAATAGCTCTTAGATCAGGCTGGTCTCCCTCTGCCTCCCAAGTGCTGGGATTAAAGGCGTGCGCCACCACCACCTGACTGTGTCTTTAGAGACACCCAGTTCTTATGTTTGCAGTCCGCAGAACGGGAATACAGACCCTCTCTCTGTGTCTTCTCTGAAGGAGCACCAGGACACACAGAAATCCAAGCTGCGCTCACCCTCCACGAGCAGCTGCTCCACTAAGTGTGGGGCTGAGGGAATCCACCCTAGGAGTCCGGACCCAAAAGAGGCCCATGCAGCCGGAGGCACAAGTCTGGGGCAATGGTGGGGCCCTAGGTGGGACCCCGGGCTTTTCAGGGCCCTCCTCTGGGGTATGGCTGGGCTATGGCGGGGCCCCCGTTGCCTGGGTCTTACTGGTTCACACCTATCTCTGTTCTAAGAAGAATGTTATACTAGATAGTCTAAAAATTGTCCCCAGACCGGAAAGGAGGAGGATTGGGAGTTCAAGGTCAGCCTCAACCTATATAGTGAGTGTAAGGCATAAGGCAAGCCTGGGTTTACAAGACTCTGTCTCAAAACCCTCTCTAAGCTTGTACACACATTATTCCCAGCGCTCAGGAGACAGAAGCCAGCTAGGGTCTGTATAGTGAGGCTTTGGTTTAAAAAACAAGAAACCCTACATACAACTAAATGCTGGTCTTTAGATGTGTTCCCAAGTACCTCCATTTGTGACTACTGTTGGAGACAGTTGGCCATGCCTCCTCTGGGAACCACAGATCTCTACAATAGGCTGCTGACCCCAGTGAAAATGACCCAATCACAGTGCAGACACTCCCCCAGGTCCCAGTGTCTCCTCAGCTCCTCACCCCCACCCCCGCTCCGGGCCAGGAGGCAGAGTCCCCAGAGCAGGGTGCCTGAGATCCTCTATGGAGGCTCCGTGGGAGATGGGCTGGGCCTGGTTCTGCTCTCTGGGTAGCTTCCCTGAGTAGATGGCTGTGTGCTGTCCTTCCTGCAGGGTTAACTCTGGTGCAAGAGCATCTCTGCTACACATGATGGTGCCCAAGGTCAGGGTCACATTTAACCAGAGAGACTAAACCACAGGGCAGTTGCTCTAGTCACACAAAGGCTGTCCATGGCTGCTGGTGGTGGTGGTGGCGGCGGCGTCAGTTGTCAAAAGCACACATCTTTAATCCCAGCACTCAGGAGGCAGGCAGGCAGCTCTCTTGAGTTCCAGACCAGCCTGGGCTACAGAGTGAGTTCCAGAACAGCCAAGAATAGGCAGAATGCAGGGTGTTGGTGGTGCACACCTTTGATCCCAGTACTCAGGAGGCAGAGGCAGGCAGACCTCTGTGAGTTGGAGGCCAGCTTGGTCTACAGAGTGAGTTCCAGGACAGGCTCCAAAGCTACACAGAGAAACCCTGTCTGGCAAAACCAAAACAAACAAACAAAAAAAAGGCAGAGAAACCCTGTCTTGCCACCCCAGCCCCCCACCCCCTCTGAGAATTCAGGTTAAATTGACTTCCTATATATTGCAATACATATGGATGCCACCAGGGGGTAGTAGTGTTCAAAGATGGTCTCCACAGCTTTGGAAAGCAACAATGTATTTCTCTTGGTTTAATTAGATGTCTTGGGCATTTGAAGGCGTTGTCTTTTTCAAGTAAAACACAAGAGGGGTACAGTGGCTTATATGAACAGCCCCAACTACTTGAGTCCTGGGCCAGAGGATCTCTTGAGCCCTCTAGTTGGAGACCAAGCAGGCTTGTTCTAGACATAGGCAATTATATGTGTGTGTTATTCATGGGACACATAACTGGTCAACACGGTACAGGATTTATAGAATTCAAGAGTGAGATCCTAACACGGTAATGCACAATTATAATCCCAGCACTGAGAGACAAAGGCAGGAAGATCTCCAGAAGTGCAAGGCTAGGCTTGTCTTCATGGAGAGCTCCAGGGCTACATAGGATGCCTTGTCATGGGCATGTATATACACATGAAAGTGTATTGCTTTTTCTTTCCTTTTTTTCTTTGTGTTTGTTGCTTTGTTTGTTTGTTTTTAGGTAGCGTCTCGCTATGTAGTACTAGCAGGCCTGGAACACTATGTAGACTAGGCTAGCCTCAGACTCAGAGAGATGCCTGCCTCTTCTTCCCAGGTGTTGAGATTAAGGGTGTGTGCCACCAGGCCGCCCTACTTTCTGTGGTTGATACTCTGCTGGGGTGTGGGTCCAAGGCCTCCTGTGTGCTTGCCAGGCAATCCGCTCCATTTCATGTGTAATTTTTGTATAATCTATGCAAGAGGTAGCCTGTATCGATGCATGGGTGTGTGTTATTGTTTGAGGCATGGTCATACTCAGTAACCAGGATAGCTTGCACCTCACTGTGTAGTCCAGGCTGTCCTTGAACTTGGGCAACATCATGCCTCAGCCTCCCAAGTACTGGAATTATAGTGTGAGCCACCACACCCTACTTTAGAGATTTTTAAATATAGTTATGTACCTTGGTGTATATTCTTGACCTGCAATAGAACTTGCCAGTCTGGCCAATATAGTGAACAAAAAGCAATACCATATACCAAAAGTGGTGATACACACCTGTAGTTCTAGCACTTAGGTAGAGGCTAGAGGATGATGCATTCAAGAGCAGCCTAGGCTACATAGTGACACCCTATGTATTTAAAAAAAGAAGGAAAATAATATTAGAGAAGCCTCACCCCATGTCTGTCCTTACAGCCAACCAGTTTCTGTGTTGTTCACGCAGAATGTTACATGGATGTGAGCGTACACATGCATGTATATTTTTCTTTCAGTCACAGATGATGACTTAGCATTTTCAAGGTGCTGATGTAAAACCTAAGAACAGATTAGGTTCTTAAAGTTAATTGCATTATTATTGTATGTGATGTGTGAGGGATGTGCATACATACGGGGGTCAGAGGGCAGTCTTAGGAGTCCTTTCCTCCTGCTCGTGTGTGTGTGTGTGTGTGTGTGTGTGTGTGTGTGTGTGTGCGCGCGCGCCCACACACCTGTGGGCAGTCTTGGGTCAGCAGGCAGGCTCAGGTACCTCTGTCTGCACTTCCCTTGCCTGGGTTACATTTTTGTCCCAGCTGCCCATGGGCTCCTGAGCTCAAGTGACCCTCCTTCCTCAGCTGCCCTAGTAGCTAGGACTGTGAGGGCTTGCCACCTCATCCTGCTCTGAGGAAGACTTCGACCACAGACTAAGTCAGCCTTGTGCCCTGGTGTGGACTAGCCCTTAAGTTGAGGTAACATCTTGGACCTCCTCCAGGAGAGCTCTCCCAGTAGCAGGTGCCCAGTGTCTCCTCTTAGACCTCAGGAAAATCCCTGTAAGAGCCTTCCCAGCACCAGTGCCAACCCCGTGACCCCAGCTCACCTGCTCTCCAAGTCCAGCTCTCATAAAGTTACAGTGGAGTTAGTTCCTCTCCTGCCTCTCAGGGTTTCTATGGTTACTGGGTCCAGCACAGCCTTTGCCTCTTGCCTCCAGCTGTTTCCCCTCTCCCCCGTTCTTTGTCCAAAGCAAATTCTTCAACTAGTCCGGACTCGCTTTTCTCTCCTTTTTTTTTTGGTGGTGCTGGGAATAAACCAGGAGCCTAGGCAAGCACTCCTCTGTCAAGCCACGCCCCAGCCTGCCCTTTTCATTTTTGTAATTATCTTGTAAATGCAGTGTGATGAGTGTACAGTAAAATGCACGTAAGTGGCAGTTTAATCAATCCTTAAGTTTATTAAGGTATGTGTCCCTACATGCAACAGCTCCTCTGTCAAGATGTACCCCACACAGGTACAACTCTGACCTCTGTCCCCATGTGAGTTCCATCCTAAATCTGGTTTCTTTTTAAAAAAAAAAAAAAAAAATGTAGAGGGTTGTAAGGAAGCATGGTAGCACAGGACGTTAATGCCAGTACTTGGGAGGCAAAGGCAAAGTATCTCTGTGAGTTCAATGCCAGCCTGGTCTACATAGCAAGTTCCAGACCAGCCAGAGCTATTCTGTGAGATTCTGTCACACACACACACACACACACACATACACACACACACACACACACACACACACACACACACACTCCTATCTCTGCACTACTCTAAAGAGATTACAGACCACACGATCATATCTGACTTTTTATGTGGGTGCTAGGGATCAAACTCAGGTCCCCATCTTGCATGCCAACCCCCAAATTTATATTTTTTTATTTTGTTTAAGAGGTGGGGGTAGGTCCCTGTGGGCAGGTAGAAAGGGCCATGGTAATCCAGTAATAAGGGGCTGCAGTGGAGTGGAGTGCTTTTGAGCTACTTCCCGAGAGTGCTGGGAACTGCACCCAGGTCTTCTTGTCTTTGGCAAGAGCAGCATGTGGCCTTAACTGCTGAGCCTTCTCCCCAGTCCTTGGGGGGAGGGTGTTGTTGGTTTATTTTAATTTATTTTTATTTTATGTGCATTGGTATTTTGCCTGCATCTGTATCTGGAACTGGAGTTATAAACAGTTATGAGTGGCCATGTGGGTGCTGGGAATTGAACCTGGGTCCTCTGGAAGAACAGTCAATGCTCTTAACTGCTCTGTCCAGCCCACAGTTTGGAGAGGGGAAGCCCAGGCAGAGCTGGCCTTCAGTTTTTGCTTCTACCTTTTTTGAGGGGTTAGGTTGAGACAGGGTTTTTCTTTGTTGTCTTGGCTGTCCTGGAACTTGCTCTGTAAGCAGGCTGGCCCCGAACTCACAGAAATCCACCTGGATTAAAGGCGTGTCACACTACCTCCTGGCCAGTCCTTTATGTTTTCTTGTTTGTTTTTATTTTTTGTTTGTTGGTTTTTTGAGACAGGGTTTCTCAGTGTAACAGCCCCTAGCTGTCCTGGAACTCACTCTGTAGACACGGCTGACCCCTGGATTCAGCTTTTAATAGGGGGTGGGGCTGTCTGTTTGAGACAGGGCTTCTCTGTGTATCCCTCTCTCTGTAGCTAACCTGGAACTCAGAGTGCTGGGATTAAAGGCGTTCCACTACTGCCCTTCTTAGCTCTTCACAGCAGGCAGCTTAGGGACGTGGCTGGGGCAGGGGCTCTGGTGGCCCCGTCTGGTACCATCATGGTGTCCCAGCCCAGTCTTCTTGTCTCAAACTCTCAGCCCTTCCCCTGGACCTTCACCCTACTCTTCATCCTCGAAAGATGCTGCCAGCTAGGCCGAGGGGCCTAGAGCTGATGGCCGGAAGCTGAGTCAGTGAGTACAGGAAGTCAGCTTCCAGCAACCAGGAGCCAGAGCTCAGCGAAGAGCTCCTCTAGAAAAGGTAGCATCGGTCCCAAAGACCAAGAGGTCATTAAGTTGAGGGTACCTAACTTGAGGGTGGAAGACGGGGGTTTTGGTCATCTACGTGTGCAAACACAGGTGTTTGGTTTATGTTCGTGTCTTGCCTGCGTGGCCATGCACTGCATGCATGCCTGGTACCCACAGACAAGAGGACATTGAGCCCCTGAAGTCACAGTGGTTGTGAGCCACCACGTGGGTGCTGGGAACTGAACACAACCTCTGGGAAAGCAATAATCACTCTGAGCCTCTGAGCCATCTCCTACAGTTTTTCTTTTTTAAACTTATTTATTTATTTATTTATTTGCATGCTGATAGTAGCCTCCCTCCTTCCTCTCCTCCCAGTCCCTCCCAGCTCTTGACAGTTTTTTTAATCCAGAATCACTGGTCTCTCACTGTGAACTTTCCTTCCGCCTAGAATTCTAGGAGTGAGGTACAGTGTTGTGTGTACTTTACTTGAAGGATAGTGGTGGCAGGCTGGACTCCCTGAAGCCTGGAGAAAAGACTGGGTTTTGGTGGCCTTGCAGTCCTTGTCCATGGCACTTTCCCAGGCCTGGGCACTCCCCCAGGACTCACTAGCTAGAGAGAAGCTGGGAGGAGAGGACGCCCGGACCACAGCACCCAGACTCATCTTTGCCTTTCTCCAGGCGGCCTCTGCAACCTCTGCCCAGACAGGGCCAACAAGGAGCACATCCTACAGGCCGGAGGCGTCCCTCTCATCACCAACTGTCTGTGCAGTCCCAACGAGGAGACGGTGTTATCTGCTGTCACCACACTCATGTACTTGAGCTCGCCCGGCACTGGCTCCCACCCGGAGCTCACCTCCTTGCCAGTGATCCAGTGCATGCTGCGCTTTTCACTGTCAGCCAACGCAAGGCTCAGGAATCTGGCCCACATCTTCCTAGAGGACTTCTGCTCCCCGAGCCAGGTGGCTGAGGCCCGAAGCCAGCAGGCCCATTCTGCCCTGGGTATCCCACTGCCAAAGACCGAGGCCCCACAGCAGCCCTGACCCCAGGAGACCCCGAGACCCCGCCACTTTCTGCCTGAGACCAGTGCTGGCTAATAACAGCTCCTTGAGCCTATCCTGCCCAAGTGGTACCTGTTAGGCTGTGTGCAAGGTACGGTCCCCGCATGTGGCCGTCGTTTACAGCTAGGAATGAAGAAGCCAGACTTGATGCTTCGAGGAGAAAACCAAAGCTAGTGTAGCTTTCATGGACTAGTGCTCCCAACAGACTACAGGCAGAAGACCGCCTCTGGTGCCCCCAGTGCCCAGCTGACACCCTCTGTAAACAAGTTTTGCATAGGGTGTACTCAAGAGCAGCTGCTAGAACGAAGACTCAGAGAGTGGCCAGTAACATGGTATCCAGAGGAATGCTAACTGCTAGAGATTGGCCAGCCTCATTAGCTGGGAAGGTGCTTCGGGGTAACTCCTCCAGTCCTGAGGCTGGGCATTTGGGCACAGCAGACATTGACTTGGACAGCTCTGCAGCCCAGGAACAACTGTCCACACAACCCAGCCCCCTGCTAGGCATCCTGTGAGCAATGCCAAGATGAAGTCTGCCCTTGGGTGTCACGCCTCAAAGGCTATTAGCCAGATGGCCATCAGGCATTAGGAGCAAGGGCCCCTGGGAGTTACGAGCAGAACAGACAGAGGTGCACACCTTGTCCCTTTGAGGCCCTACATAGGACCCTGGGACACAGACAGCGACTTTTGATCCCCTTGTGACCAGGCTGCAGTACCAGCTGCTACCTGTGGCATCCCTGTCCTTCAGAAATGTTGCTCTGCCCCCTTCTGCCTATCACCAGATCCTCTGACCGCAGGATACAAACCCTTCTTGACTATTCAGATCTGCTTCCTGCTCTTCTCCCAGGAGCCATCAGCCTCCAAACCTGTTAGGGCTGTGATGCAGATCTTCAATAAAGACACCCAGAAAGGGCTGGAGAGATGGCTCAGAGGTTAAGGGCGTTGACTGCCCTTCCAAAGGTCCTGAGTTCAATTCCCAGCCACCACATGGTAGCTCACAACCATCTGTAATGAGATCTGGTGCCCTCTTCTGGCCTGCAGGTGTACATGCAAATAGAACATAATCAATAGGTTAATCTTAAAAAAGAGCACAGTGGCGTAAACCTGTAGTCTACCACTTGGGCAGAGGCTATGGGGTTAGATCCTGTCACAGAAGGAAGAAACAGGGTCCCACTAATGTCTGAAGGACAGCCAGCCCCTTGCCTGGCAGCTCCCTCTCCTATGCCAGTGGGAAGGAAAAACCGAAACTAAGGGGGTGGTGAAGAGAGGGCGGACCTGGTGAGAAGCTGGGGTTCAGGAAAAGTGGGGTCCTGACCCCAGCACTGTCCCCTGTCCCCCTTAGATGAGCAACTAAAACTGTTGGAGGAAGGAGAGCCTAGGGAAGTGGATGAGGGCAGGAAGAGGCTTTGTTGGAGTCACAGTTCTCTACCCTCCCCCAGGGCACCCTTTTCAAAGAACCAAAGCCTTGCTTTTAGCTATTTTTATTAAAGTCCTCCTGAGTTCCCACTGTATTTCTGTGCCAGCCCCGCTCCTCCTGTGTGTAGCCATCTTGGGGAAGGGCCATATGGCGGAGTCTGCTACAGTGGCCCCTGCCTCAGGGTCTTTCACAGGCCGGCTCGCTTGCTGTCTATAATCCCCCTCCAGTTGTCACTCCAGGAAAGCAGCCGCCTCCTGGTGGGGGGCAGGGCCAGGTGCTGATTGTGGTAGCAGGTGAACAAGATGTGCTCCCAGCTTGGGGTCTCCTCCAGGCCTGGGGCAGAAAAGGCACCGCCTGCGTCTGTAATCTGGTTATTGTTACCCCTCTACCCAATCCCACAGGCCAGGTGCCTGGAGGTTGTCAAGGTTAACTGGCCTAACCTTGAATGGTGTCTTTGTCATCAATGAGCAGGTCTCCCATGACCACTGTCTTGTCCCTAGTCAGGATAATCCGCTCCACAAACTGAGGCCCCAGGTTCTGCTCCACCCAGCGGTACTGAATAGACAGGAAACAAAAGGGGGGGGGGCGGGCTTGCTACGACGCTCTAAATGCAGCGTGAGATGCTGGGTTAATAAGGACCAAGCCTTCAAAAGTGAGGTACGCCATTCCCCCGACCCCCACTTTCTGTGGTTTATTTTTAAAATCTAATTTGGAAAGCTAAATCTGCGCAGGCGCCGGCACCTTCTCGCCCACACAGTGGTCGTACTTCCGCAGTGGGCTGGTGCAGATGAAGACCTCGGTGCTGCAGAGAGAGGGGGGCAGTTAGGCCTGGGGGGCGGGCTGACCTCCCGCCACCTCCTCCTCACCCTCCTTACTCTTCCATGTCGTTCATCTCTCGAAGAGCGTCCACGGCCCCAGGGATGGGCTCCAAGTTTAGAAAGAAGCCTGGAGCTTCATACACACTGGCCAGTTTGTCCTGGAAGAGACAGACCTCGTCCTGCCCCTGCCTTACAGCAGGGGGAGCCCCAGAGAGGACCCACAATAAGCAGCCCGAGTCCACGCAGGGGGGAAACGCTGGAGGTGGGTGGGTGCTCTCAAGCTTTCTGGGGTGTGTGTGTGTGTCTGTGTCTGTGTGTGTGTGTGTGTGTGCGCGCTGTGGATTCAGAAGCTGGGGTGTCTGGAATAGAACCCCGATGGCCCTGCCCAGAGCGGGGAAGCGGGGTTCCGCGTCCGCCCTCCTACCGCCAGGTCCGGCCGCAGGGCTCGGTACTGCTCGCTGGCGAGGAAGCCGCGGCGCTGCTCCAGCGGCACGTGCGGGTCCCCGGGGAAGCGGCGGCGGAAGCCCTGCAGGAGGCCAGATTCGAAGTCGGCCAGCACGCCGTCCATGTCCACCAGCACGCGCACTGGCCGCCGCGCCGCCATGGCCGCGCCCGGGGTCTCCGCCGGGCAAAGGCAGAGGGTGTCAGTCCCCGGAACGAGCTTCCGGGACGCGGGCAGGGGCGGGGCCCGACCCGGCTCATTTGCATACCGCGGGGTACCCAGCCAGGGTGGCCTGCGCCTTCTCTGCCTCCCCCGTGCCTGTCCAGGCTGGAGATGGGCAGGAGCACACGGGGACCCCGATTCCCAGATCATGAGCGAGGCTCCCAGTTCAAGAAGGGACGACCCCTTATAGACAATTGTGGGCACGAGCCGGGCTCTCTCAAGAGACTGAGTCATAAGCCAGAGTTGGCTTGAAACAGTACCGTTGATTTCAATGTGTCCACTGCTTTATCAGTGCAATCAAAAGCGTGTTTCCTTCCAGAGAAAATGTTAAATGCTGACACACAGACACACTTTGTTGTAGATTTCACAAAGTTCATGGCGACTGTCGCATCGATTTACCAAATATAAACGCAGGTTTGAGTGAGCCCTCTTGCGGGCTGCCCTTCCCTGTTTAACGAGTAAACTCCACCCCACAGAGCGTCTCTGTGTAACAGCCCTGGCTGTCCTGGAACTCACTCCGGAGTACTGGGATTAAAGGAGAGGCCACTATTCCTACAGTTTGATGACTCCCAAACACAGCCTGAAATCTCACTTGAAGAAAGACCAGTTTAAAACAACAAACGAGCCAAGTGTTAATCCCAGCACTCTGAAGGCAGAAGCTTCCATAAAGTCTAAGGTAGCCAAGAGCTTCATAGTGAGGACCCTGTCTCAAAAACAAAGCAGTGAGCCCTTACTTTGTGACTGAGTTTTCACCAAGTCAAGGAACTCACAGGAACTGAGTTAAAACCTTCACCTGAAAGTGTGTCTATCCTGCCCTTTGGGTAACTAATTTTAAAATATTCTTATATCAGGTGGTGTAGTGGTGACTCACTCCTTTGAGTCACCAGCACTCAAGAAGCAACGGCAGGCAGGTCTCTGTGAGTTCGAGGCCAGCCTTGACTGTAGAGCTACACTACTTCAGGTGTTAGTATTCAGCACCTGTACTGGCCTGCCCTTGGGGTTCTGACAGGGTACGTCCTCAGCTGCAGCCACTAAGAGCACCACCTGTGCACATTCACTCTGTTCCCTTTAAAAGGGCCCTGCCCACCTCCCAGCCTTTACTCACCCTCCCTCTGTCTGTTCCCCTTTCTCTCTCTCTCTCTCCCCCTGTCCCCCCCTGCTCCCTCTCTCTACCCCCCCCCCCCGTTCCTGTCACCAGAGGTCAATCTCCCAGCTTCCCTTTCCCCTTTTTATGATTCCTTTTCCTAATTTCAAAACAAAACAAAAAACCCTCTGCTTGAACCCTGTTGCATGGCATCTCCCTCTCCCTCTCTCTCATCACTTTTCTTGAATTACAACATTGGTTCCTTGACCAAGAAGGTTCTCCTGGTGTTTTCTCCTGTCCATAGGCAGTTTTGGGCACACCAGGACCCTGGAACCCAGGTCACATCCAGCAGTCTCGCTTCTCCGGATCCCTGGGTCCTTCCAGCCAAAATCGGCATGATTGGTGAGCCACTCCACCCTGCCCACATTAGGGTATTCCCATGAGTGAGGATTCATCTTACCTCTCGAGCCTTTTGGTTTGGCCTCCTTAAGTCCTGGTATCAGGCAACCACAGCACTCTCGGGCTTTGAGTCCTTGTCCCCACCCTTTGTGTGACGACACACTGGGTGGCCTGTGCCAGTCTGGGACCTTCTGGTCCTTCCTCCCCCGCCCCTTGACTGACAATCACCCAGGCAGCTCATGGCTTTCTTGCTCGCTTGATAAAAGCCATTGCTCTGCTTCACAAACAGGGAATAAGCCTACCAAAACTCCCATTCCCAGCACTTTGATCACTTCACCCTAAGACCCCGCCCACCTGCTTCACCTTCCATAGATCAGCTCTCTTCCACCTGCAACAAATCTGCTTTCTCGTTCTCTGATAGCTTCGCCTTCCATTTAGTGCCAACCATTGCGTCTCTGGTGGGGTTATCACTTGTGACCATCCTCCCTGGATGTGAGGCTTCCTTTCTCGAACACAGTCCTTTTCCTCCCCTTCTGGCTTTCCTTGAAGTCCTGGTACCAGGGGACCGTGTCCCTCTTGGGCTCAGAGTCCTTGGCCCCCACCCTTTGCAGGATGACTCACTGGGTAGTCTGTGCCTGTCTCAAATACAGCCTTCTCTGAATTTCTGGGACGATGGGAATTGCAGATGCTTGGGTCTTCTCTGCCTCACTCATGGGAGTTATGTCATCGTCTATGTCTCCTTGCTCCCATTGGGATGTTTGATGGAGACCCACTGACCATTCTCAATCAGCTATTGTTGCAGGAGTACCAGCTGTTGACCACAGAACTGGAGGCGCAAGCCCACCAAACATGTCCCGGTGATGCTGTGGTGATGGCAAAGGATCAGGTGCTTTAAGCCCTAGGGAGCTGACTTGGATCCACTAAGAATGGCATTTTGCCAGGTCCAGGTGGTGCCTGATGGTTCCACAGAGCCAGGACAGTGAGGTGAAACCGTTAGCTACTCCAGGACATGGCTAGCACCCCATCTTTCCCAGGTCCCCCAAAGACGAGCGACCCCCCAGGTCAGCAGGAAGTAGTCTTTAGAACACCTCACCCTATTCCTGCCTCACCTGCTACCCCTTTCTAATGCCTCACCTTTTTAAAATAAATAAAAAGGGAAGAATGTTAGTATTCTGGTCTGTCCTTAGGGTTTAGACAGGATATGTCCTCAACTACAACCACTAAGAGCACCACCTGTGCTTTCAAAAGGGCCCTGCCCGCCGCCCATCCTCCCCTCTTCCCTCTCTCTTGCTGCTCCTGTCCCTGGAGGCCAGTTTACCCCTCCCTTTCTCCTTTTTATGATCCCTTTCCTTAATAAAAACCCCTCTGCGTGAACCCTGCTGCATGGCATCTTTCTCTCGAACACTGCTTCTCTTAAATTACAAGATGGTCCTGCCATCTTGTAATTACAAGATGAGGAATGACTTGTAAGCTCCCTGCTTTTCCCCTCTGCAGTCAGAGTTTCGGCTGTAACATCAGTGTCTGTGCTTTGGGTAGAGTGGAACTTGCTGCAGGGGAAGCCGGGGCCTCTGTGTGATGTGAGTCTCTCCTCTGAGCTGGCCCTGTCCTCCTCCATCTTCTTGACTGGGTCCGACTGCACGTGTGTGAGGTGGACAGTTTATCGGCAGATGTTTTGGCCAGTGAGAACTCAGGACCATCAGGCCAGGGATGGTCCCCCCACCACCACCATGGGCTGGGCCCTCCGGAATGAATCACTAATTGAGAAAATGCTCTCACCTGTCTCCCCACAGCCTGATCCTATGGAGGCATTTTCTCAGCGGAGGCTCCAGTCTCTCTGATGACTATAAAATCAGACAGCACTGGGTCTGACTGGGAGTTACTGCTGCAAGGGAGGAGTTCTTGCTGACTCCGGTCAAGGGCAGCGTGGAGGAGTCAGCACTTGGCATCACTGAGCCTTGTGCTGGGGTTCATGTCTCCCATGTTTGCAGGTGACCGTCTTGGTGCTTCAGGGCCGGTTGGACGAGGCACGACAGATGCTGTCCAAAGAAGCTGATGCCAACCCCTCTTGTGCAAGCATGTGCCGCATCCTTGGGGATCTGATGAGGACAATGCCCATTCTCAGTGTATGTGGGAGCCGCCTTGCCTGCCCGGTCTTGGAGCTGGGGGTCAGGGATCATGTAGGTCTGGGGTCTTAGCGAGCACCTCACAGCGGGTCTCTCCCACAGCCTGGCAACACTCAGACGCTGACGGAGCTGGAGCTGAAGTGGCAGCACTGGCGTGAGGAATGTGAGCGCCACTTGCAAGACAGCACATTCGCAGCCAGCCCCCGCCTGGAGTCTCTCTGCAAGGTGTGGGCTCAGGCCAGGGCTGGGCACCTCCTTGGGAGCCTGGCATCCAGGCAGCAAGGAGCTGGCTTCACTGTGGAGAGGGCTGTCAAGTCACTTGGCTGCAAAGGAGGGAACTTTCAACTTGTAGTTGAGAGCCATGGCCCCAGATGAGATCAGCAGAGCTCAGGGAATGTCTCTCCTCAGATCATGCTGGGGGATGAGGCCACCTTGTTGGAGCACAAGGAGCTTCTGAGCAACTGGTACCATTTCCTAGTGACCAGGCTGCTGTATTCTAACCCCACAGTGAAACCCATCGACCTGCACTTCTATGCCCAGGTGAGTGAGTGACAGTGTAGGGGACCCTTGGTTCCCTAACTCTTGGTGTGGCCTCCACGGGACTTGGAGGCTCTTTCCTTCAGTCGTCTGTGAAGGAACTCCTCCAGACTGCCCACAGGCAGTCCTGTCCCTCCCCCGCCCCAGCCCCAGTGTCTGCTTCCGTGTTGGAGATAGAGCAGGCTATCACCTGTCCGCAGTCTAGCCTGGACATGTTTCTGGGAGGTGAGAGCAGTCCGGAGCCATTGGATAACATCTTGATGGCAGCCTTTGAGTTCGACATTCACCAAGTGATCAAGGAGTGCAGGTAGGGCACCCTCGTTTTTACTGTGGATTGAGACGGATATAATTCAGCATTAAATGTGCATCAGCCATCAGCTCCATTCCATTCACTACTACATTCCTACTCTTCCACTTTCTGTCCTAGTTTTTTGTTTTGTTTTGTTTTGAAGATTTATTTATTTATTGTGTTTACAACATTCTGCCTCCATGTATTCCTGCATGCTGGAAGAGGGCACCAAATCTCATTATATATGGTTGTGAGGTACCATGTGGTTGCTGGGAATTGAACCCAGGACCTGTGGAAGGGCAGTTATCTTAACCTCTGAGCTCTCTCCAGCCCTAGTTCTTATTTTCTTTGAGACAGGGTTTCTCTGTGTAGTCCTGGCTGTCCTGGAACTGGTTCTGTAGACCAGGCTGGCCTCGGACTCGCAGAGATCCTCCTGCCTCTGCCTCCCGAGTGCTAGGATTAAAGGTGTGGGCCACCACAGCCCTGGTGTCACTGTTTTTTCTTGTACAGTCTCTTAATTTATATGGCTTGTTTT